GACATAAATTTGGCCCAACCGGTGAGTTATCCAGATACAAGGCCCGCTGGGTGGTTCGTGGTTTCAACCAACATTTTGGCGTTGATTATGACGAGACTTTCAGGCCCGTTGTCAAGCCTGCCACTGCTCGTGTTGTCCTCAGTCTTACTCTGTCTCGAGGTTGGCCCAATCATTAGCTTGATGTCAAGAATGCGTTCTTTCATGGCCAGCTGCAAGAGACCGTCTATACCTGTCAGCCTTCTGGGTTTCAGGATCCCACTCGCCCTCATTATGTGTGCAAGCTCAAGAAGGCTCTATATGGTCTCAAGCAAGCACCCCGATCATGGTTTCACATGTTTGCTGGTTTCATACAGACTATTGGGTTTAGAGGATGTAAGGCCGACACTTCTCTATTTGTCTTCTCTCAGCCCATGGGCACGGCCTATCTACTACTTTGTGTGGATGATATAGGGGGTCACCCATCCTAGTACTACTCTCGCCCAAGCATGCTTAACTTCGAAGTTCTGATGGGATCCGGTGCATTAGTGCTGGTATGATCGCACCCATCAAGTGTTGCGCGCATGATGTCTTTATTCCTTATCCGCCGGTATTGCTCGTAGTTTAAACAACAAACTTAACTTAGGAGTACTGATGGGATCCGGTGCATTAGTGCTTGTATGATCAATCCCATCATGCGCAATTTTAGTGGGCGAAATGGTAATACACGGGGTCGATGACACACCCTATCGGTCTTGGGCATGTTTGCCCTCATCGTTAACCTTTTAGCGTGGTGATTACGCTGTTTTGGGCATAACTTTTGATAGGAGTGTCTGTTTTCAGCATGCGAGCACTTTCCAGAAAGGGCTCAACGAGACGCACAGGGGCACGATGCGTTGGAGACCCATCGGGGCTCAGCTTTGACCTCAATTTCGCTCGTTTCCTGGCCTATGGCCTATTTTATGTTCAGCCCATTTATTTCTCGTTCCTAGGCCCGTTTTGACTTTTGTTTGTTTTGGGTTTCGGCCACCCTTGTTTTGTGTGGCTTCCTGATGCACTTTGGAAGTTCACGCAACCCTTTGTGCCCGCTAGACAGTTTTTAAAAGAATCTAGCACATAACTTGTAAAAAAATGATGAAAAGAACAAAAAGGGGTGCAACACAAGGACTTCCCAGGGGGTCACCCATCCTAGTACTACTCTCGCCCAAGCACGCTTAACTTCAGAGTTCTGATGGGATCCAGTGCATTAGTGCTGGTATGATCGCACCGATCAAGTGTTGTGCGCATGATGTTCTTATTCCTAATCCGCCGGTATTGCTCATAGTTTAAGCAAGAAACTTAACTTAAGAGTACTGATGGGATCTGGTGCATTAGTGCTTGTATGATCGATCCAATCATGCGTAATTTCAGTGGGCGAAATTGTAATACACGGGGTCGAAGACACACCTTATCGATCTTGGGCATGTTTGCCCTCATCGTTTACCTTTTAGCGTGGTGATTACGCTGTTTTGGGCATAACTTTTGCTAGGAGTGTCCGTTTTCAGCGTGCGAGCACTTTTCAAAAAGGTCTCAACGAGACGCACAGGGGCGCGATGGGTCGGAGACCCATCTGGGCTCAATTTTGACCTCAATTTCGCTCGTTTCCGGGCCTATGGCCTATTTTATGTTCAGCCCATTTATTTCTCGTTCCTTGGCACGTTTTGACTTTTATTCGTTTTGGGTTTCGGCCACCCTTGTTTTGTGTGGCTTCCCGATGCACTTTGGAAGTTCACGCAACTCTTTGTGCTCGCTAGACAGTTTTTAAAAGAATCAAGCACATAACTTGCAAAAAAAATGATGAAAAGAACAAAAAGGGGTGCAACACGAGGACTTCCTAGGGGGTCACCCATCCTAGTACTACTCTCGCCCAAGCACGCTTAACTTTGGAGTTCTGAGGGGATCCGGTGCATTAGTGCTGGTATGATCGCACCGATCAAGTGTTGTGCGCATGATGTTCTTATTTCTAATCCGCCGGTATTGCTCATAGTTTAAGCAACAAATTTAACTTAAGAGTACTAATGGGATCCGGTGCGTTGGTGCTAGTATGATCGATCCCATCATGCGCAATTTTAGTGGGCGAAATGGTAATACACGGGGTCGAAGAAATCGGTCTTGGGCATGTTTGCCCTCATCTTTAAATTTTAGCGTTGTGATTACGCTGTTTTGGGCATAACTTTTGCTAGGAGTGTACATTTTTAGCGTGCAAGCACTTTCCGGAAAGGTCTCAACGAGACGCATAGGGGCGCGATGGGTCGGAGACCCATCGGGACTCAGTTTTGACCTCAATTATGCTCGTTTCCGAACCTATGGCCTATTTTATGTTCAGCCCATTTATTTCTCGTTCCTAGGCCCGTTTTGACTTCTGTTCGTTTTGGGTTTCGGCCACCCTTGTTTTGTGTGGCTTCCCGACGCACTTTGGAAGTTCACGCAAGCCTTTGTGCTCGCTAGACAAATTTTAAAAGAATCAAGCACATAACTTGCAAAAACAATGATGAAAAGAACAAAAAAGGGTGCAACACAAGGACTTCCCAGGGGGTCACCCATCCTAGTACTACTCTCGCCCAAGCACGCTTAACTTTGGAGTTCTGATGAGATCCGATGCATTAGTACCCCCCCTCCCCCTCACAAAACCTTATCACCAGTAAATGGCTCTTTAGACATAAATTTGGCCAAACCGGTGAGTTATCTAGGTACTAGGCCCGCTGGGTGGTTCGTGGTTTCAACCAACGTTTTGGCGTTGATTATGACGAGACTTTCAGCCCCGTTGTCAAGCCTGCCACTGTTCGTGTTATCCTCAGTCTTGCTCTGTCTCGAGGTTAGCCCATTCATCAGCTTGATGTCAAGAATGTGTTCCTTCATGGCCAGCTGCAGGAGACCGTCTATGCCTATCAGCCTTCATGGTTTCAGGATCCCACTCGCCCTCACTATGTGTGCAAGCTCAAGAAGGCTCTATATGGTCTCAAGAAAGCACCCCGATCATGGTTTCACAGGTTTGGTGGTTTCATACAGACTATTGGGTTTAGAGGATGTAAGGCCGACACTTCTTTATTTGTCTTCTCTCAGCCCATGGGCATGTCCTATCTATTACTTTGTGTGGATGATATAGGGGGTCACCCATCCTAGTACTACTCTCGCCCAAGCACGCTTAACTTCGGAGTTCTGATGGGATCCGGTGCATTAGTGCTGGTATGATCGCACCCATCAAGTGTTGCGCGCATGATGTCTTTATTCCTAATCCGCCGGTATTGCTCATAGTTAAAGCAACAAACTTAACTTAAGAGTACTGATGGGATCCAGTGCATTAGTGCTTGTACGATCGATCCCATCATGCGCAATTTTAGTGGGCGAAATTGTAATACACGGGGTCGAAGACACACCTGTTGGAATAAGTGATCAACGCCAGAGGGGGGGTGAATAGCGTTTGATCATAGAAATTGCAGGAATAAAAAATTAAGAACGTGAAAAGTAAAGAGCGTAGAAAGCGTAAAGGGAGAACACCAAGATTTATACTGGTTCACCACAATGTGTGGCTAATCCAGTCTCCCGAGAGACTCTCTCGAGCTACACTACTTCCGTTAAGCTTACGGGTTCTTAACTAACCGTTACAACCTGAGAACTCGAGTCCCACGAGCCTCAACAACACTTGCTCGGAGATACCGCACTCCAAGACTTCAACCCGAAGGAAAATACCTTTCCTTCGTATAACCAAGGGAAACAAGATTCCCTAAACGTGTTTAAAACACTAAGAACACTCAAGAACAAGACTCTCTTTAAGAGTAGATGTTGAGTAAACTATATACGCTCAAGAACAACTCAAACTTCACAAATTGGCTCTAGAAAGCTATGGAAAATGATGTTGTTTGAATGCAATGATAATATGAATAATGTGAAGTGAACTGATAATAAAAGCAGACCCAAACACCCCTTTTTATAGTGCCAAAATAGGCTCCAACGGACCAATACATTAAAGGGGTGATTGGCTTGATTTATGGGACAGGATATTGGCTTCCCATCGATGTTTAGACTCAACCATCGCTGGTAAGCCAATTTTCCTTCAGTTTTGAAGCCAACGGTTACCTACACATCGATGGGTACAAGCTTCCCATCGCTGGGTGGGAGGTTGACTTCCAAACAAGGAAAGAATGAACCTTAAATGACTTCCAACGGTCATGCCTTCCCATGGCTGGGTAATATCCTCCCATCGCTGGGAAGTCACTTACCCATGGATGGGTAATATCTCCAATCGCTGGGTAAAGGCATTCTGCCTTGTGATTATGTTGGACCAAGGCTTGAACAACGATGAGTAGAGCTTCCCATCGCTGTTTGGCATGGTTCTAGAATTCAATTGGGCTGAAAGCTGCTTACCCATCGCTGGGTGGCATGATTCTGGAATCCCGGAATCACTTACCCATGGCTGGGTGATATCTACCATCGCTGGGTAGATGGCTAGCCCGGAACCATGGCCTAGCCGACCGGCGCTAAAACCCGACCGAAAAACGCAGAGTTCTCCAAAGTAAAAACTAAGTATATAAAACACTTATTTAATGTATTTTAATGTCAAAACAAGCTTTGTAAGTTGAAAATCACGTCGTTAAGGTAAAAACCACGGTTGACCAAGTCAACACCATACACGGGTGGTTTTCACCAAAAGACAAAACCGAAAGGTGGTTTTCATGATGTTTTGATTGGAGAACCATTTAAATTCATTCAAAAACAATTTCCACACAAAAAGACTCAAAAACCACTTCATTTAAGTAAAAGACACGGCTAGCCAAGTTTATGCCGTTTCGCATGGTTTTTATCAAACGACAAAAAATGAAAGGTGGTTTTTGAAGTGTTTTTTATGGAAAACTATTTAAATGTGCCCAGAAGTAAAAACAAATCATAAAAATTTGAAAACCACTTGGTTGGTTCGGACGCCAAAAACCAACACCGATAACCGAATGCCGAACGCCGGTTTCTGAAAAACCGAATGCCGGTTTCTAAAAGCCGAACGCCGTATGGCTTGGTTTTTGGTTTGGGCGAACACCAAATGTTTTTAATATGTTTAAGCATGTTTGAAAATAATTTTGATGATATGTAAAATGCAATAAAAATGTTTTAGCCTAAAGAGCCAAAGTGCAAAGCTGGGGTCGGTCTTGATCACATTGTGACCGACTCAATGACGCTAAAGACTACGGTCTTCGTTCTTGGTCTCTTTTAGCTCTTGTTCTCTTGCTTTCTTCTTATATTTATTTCTTGCCTTGTATATTCAACAACTTGTCTCGTTCATGGCGGTTTGGCATTATCAAAACCTGTCATAAAAACGAACACGGCTTTAGTACGAAAACATGATAAACCCGTGTTTCAACAATTCCCCCCTTTTTGATAATGGCAAATGAGATGGGGTTATGCATAGGAAGATTGATTTGAGACTTAAAAAATGTTCCCCTTAATAAATGCATATTTCTTTTCCACAAAGTTTATGTGTTGAATAAGAGTTAGTTTTAGAAAAAAAGTTCCCCCTCAATCTATGCATAACCTTTATATATTCCCCCTTTTGACATTAACAAAAAGAATTGAAAGTAAACTTTTATTCATTAAAAGGGAAATGCGGAATATAACGGATAAAACTACAATCATATTTAATAAGGAGAGAATAGAGAAGAGGTCGTGGCGTCAGTGTTGGCCTTCTTCTTTGAAGCCTTGGTTTTGGTCCTCAACTTTCCTCTAGCCATTGTTGAAGCGTTTATAAAGTGAGTAGAGGCTTAAAGTATGCAAAAGGAATGTAAATTGTGTGTTAAAAATGACCAAGGATGGTTAATATTTATAGGAAAAGAGAATTTGGGCCCTTGGTGTTCGAAAATATGGCTGTTGGGCATTGAATGAGGTGCCAACGGCTATGATTTTTGAACTGCAACAGGCTTCCCAGCGATGGTAAGGTTCTCCCATCGATGGGAAGACAGGTACTGGAAAGGGAGGAAAAAAGTGAAGGCAGCCTTCCCAGCGATGGTAAGGTTCTCCCATCCCTGGGAAGACAGCTACTAGAAATCCGTTAAAATTTTTTTAAAAAAAAGTGTCAAACACCCAGCGATGGGAAGAAGTTCCCATCGATGGGAAGAGGGCTGCGGGTTAGAAAATACTTCCTTCCCAACGATGGGATAAACCACCCATCGCCGGTTCCCCCTGAGTTCCCCACTTTGATACGTACCTGCAAAAAAAACAACACTTTGGTACCCAAAGTATGTCTATGGGTCCTTGGGGGTTAGTTTACCTTTATTGCCCACACACACACCCAAAATATGTTTCCATATGCGCACACACACACACACACGATTAAATGATTGTTTAGGAGTTACCTTGGCCAACCCATCGTCTCGTGGTTGGCGGGTTCCAGTCTACCTGAACGGAGTGCCGATATCTCGGTGTGATTTGTGTTGGTTCCGGTAACGGAATGTAGACTTTCTTCTTTTCATCAAAGTAGAAGAAATAGTATTGTTTCTTTTGTGCATTATCCTGTGGAGATTGTTTATGATTCAAATATCCTTTTCCAAAGGATTTCTTTTCGTTAGCATTGAACATGTTGTGTGTTTCATTAAAGGTCAAGTGCCTATGTCAGGTGAAACACACGGGTGCTATGTGTCCTACCCTATCGCAATAATGGCATACTACGTTTGGGTTGAACATATGCCTAGGTTGGTAATAGCTAGGAGGTCTCACCATATTCATCCTATTTTTAGAAAATATTGGTTTTTGGGTATTTTGAAAATTCTCTCTTCTAGGTGTTCTAAAATTATTTCTGTGCATAAAATCATTTTGATAATTCCTCCTAGGTTTCCTAGAGTGCTTGTGTTCACTACTAACCTTTTGTCTAGGTTGTCTATTATTTTTATTTTTATCTTTCTTAGGTTGAGCTCTAGGCTCTTTGGAGGCTTTTAATGCTATGCCTTTTCCTTGATCATTCAAAGACAGGTTAAGTATAGTAGATTCATACGTTTTTAAGTTACCTCTTAAACCGTCGATGGTGATATTTGACGTGCCGATTGACTCATAGATGGCATCGGCCTTGGATCGCCATTCGGATGTCAAGCTCCATAGGATCTTTCGTACAAGATCCCTGTCGGTGTAAGTCTTCTTCAATGCATGAAGATCGTTGACTATCTTGGAAAATCGGTCGAACATGTCGTCGATCTTCTCGTGCTCCTTCATCCTGAACATCTCATATTCTTGGGTGAGGAAGTCCATCTTGGCCTTACGTACTTGGTCCGTTCCTTCGTACGTCACCTCAAGTTTATCCCACATCTCCTTGGCGGTTGAGCAGCAGGAGATCTTGCGGTAGTCATCAGGATTTACGGCACAATAAAGCATGTTTATTGCCTTTGCATAGTTCTCGACCTTTTTGATGTCCTCGGCATCAAACTCGTCTTCGGTATTGGGGATCAACTTATCTCCAACTTTCTTCATCGGCACCTCTTCCCCGTTTTTGATAACCAACCATAATTGGAAGTTCGTGGAACGAATATAGATTCTCATTCGTTCTTTCCAATATGTATAATTGGTTCCATCAAAAAGAGGTGGCTGTGTGGTTGATTGCCCTTCACCTATTCCTGCATACAAATTTCTAGAAGAAGAACCCATGATCGCTTTACTCTCAAACGGTTAAGTTTGGACGCGAGTTAGGCTCTGATACCAATTGTTAGAATAAGTTACCAACGCTAGAGGGGGGGTGAATAACGTTTGATCGTAGAAATCGCAGGAATAAAAAATTAAGAACGTGAAAAGTAAAGAGCGTAGAAAGCGTAAAGGGAGCACACCAAGATTTATACTGGTTCACCACAATGTGTGGCTAATCCAGTCTCCCGAGAGACTCTCTCGAGCTACACTACTTCCGTTAAGCTTATGGGTGCTTAACTAACCGTTACAACCTGAGAACTCGAGTCCCACGAGCCTCAACAACACTTGCTCGGAGATACCGCACTCCAAGACTTCAACCCGAAGGAAAATACCTTTCCTTCGTATAACCAAGGGAAACAAGCTTCCCTAAACGTGTTTAAAACACTAAGAACACTCAAGAACAAGACTCTCTTTAAGAGTAGATGTTGAGTAAACTATATACGCTCAAGAACAACTCAAACTTCACAAATTGGCTCTAGAAAGCTATGGAAAATGATGTTGTTTGAATGCAATGATAATATGAATAATGTGAAGTGAACTGATAAGAAAAGCAGACCCAAACACCCCTTTTTATAGTGCCAAAATAGGCTCCAACGGACCAATACATTAAAGGGGTGATTGGCTTGATTTATGGGATTGAATAAATTTGGGATCTGCAGGATATTGGCTTCCCATCGATGTTTAGACTCAACCATCGCTGGTAAGCCAATTTTCCTTCAGTTTTGAAGCCAACGGTCACCTACCCATCGATGGGTACAAGCTTCCCATCGCTGGGTGGGAGGTTAACTTCCAAACAAGGAAAGAATGAACCTTAAATGACTTCCAACGGTCATGCCTTCCCATGGCTGGGTAATATCCTCCCATCGCTGGGAAGTCACTTACCCATGCATGGGTAATATCTCCCATCCCTGGGTAAGGGCATTCTGCCTTGTGATAATGTTGGACCAAGGCTTGAACAGCGATGGGTAGAGCTTCCCATCGCTGTTTGGCATGGTTCAAGAATTCAATTGGGCTGAAGGCTGCTTACCCATCGCTGGGTAATATCTCCCATCGCTGGGTGGCATGATTCTGGAATCCCGGAATCACTTACCCATGGCTGGGTGATATCTACCATCGCTGGGTAGATGGCTAAGCTAGCCCAGAACCATGGCATAGCCGACCGGCGCTAAAACCCGACCGAAAAATGCAGAGTTCTCCAAAGTAAAAACTAAGTATATAAAACACTTATTTAATGTATTTTGATGTCAAAACAATCTTTGTAAGTTGAAAACCACATCGTTAAGGTAAAAACCACGGTTGACCAAGTCAACACCATACACTGGTGGTTTTCACCAAAAGACAAAACCGAAAGGTGGTTTTCATGATGTTTTTATTGGAGAACCATTTAAATGCATTCAAATACAATTTACACACAAAAAGACTCGAAAACCACTTCATTTAAGTAAAAACCACGGCTAGCCAAGTTTATGCCATTTCGCATGGTTTTTATCAAACGACAAAAAACGAAAGGTGGTTTTTGAAGTGTTTTTTATGAAAAACTATTTAAATGTGCCCAGAAGTAAAAACAAATCATAAAAAGTTGAAAACCACTTGGTTGGTTCGGACGCCAAAAACCAACGCCGATAAAGGAATGCCGAACGCCGGTTCCCGAAAAACCGAACGCCGGTTTCTGAAAGCCGAACCCCGTTTGGATTGGTTTTTGGTTTGGGCGAACACCAAGTGTTTTTAATATGTTTAAGAATGTTTGAAAATAATTTTGATGATATGTAAAAAGCAATAAAAATGTTTTAGCCTAAAGAGCCAAAGTGCAAAGCTTGGGTCGGTCTTGATCACATTGTGACCGACTCAATGTGGTGGTCCCAAAGTGGTGAGATACAAAGTCTGGAGGGGGGGTGAATAGACTTTGTTACAAATTTAAAACTTTTTTTTTTTCGTTTCTTTTGAAAACGTGAAAATGAGTGTTAATCTAGAGTTCTTGTGAAAACGTGAAAATGAGTGTCAATATGGATGGGTTAGTTTTCACAGTTAATATAATTGCAAGTAAGAGTAAAGATAAAAGAGAGAGGCACGCAAACTTTAACGAGGTTCGAAGGTGGGGTAATCCTTCTACGTCCTCAAAATCCACTATGTAGTTGGTTGTTGAATAATGAACCAACAATTACACTTGTGCGAATTTCTGCACGGTATATCTTCGGAAGGCCAATGTTGCTACTGCACTTGTGCTGGCTTTGTTGTTCCTTCGAAGGTCACGCTTCTTCAACAAATGCAAGATCCGAACTATAGGACTTGCAAGATCAACTTGTAAGAAAGTTGATATCTACCCCCTTTTAATCAAGAAGTTTGATCAAAAGTTATATCCTTCAACGTGGTGTGGTACTTGAGGCAAGGAAACCTTCAAGTGTTTACACTATAGCTCTTTGGAAGGAGGAGAAGTTTGCTTCTGGATAAGGAGTTTAGAAATCTCTCTTTATCAAGCTTTTGGGCTAACTGTGAATGAGATAGCTTTGTTGTTCATGTACTTCGTTGTGTTTGTCTATCTCATCGTATCTTCTCCAGTCTTCCAAGGATGCTATTTATAGCTGGATTGGATAATCTATCCATTGAGTCAAAATAGACTATCCGTTGCATTTGCTGGCTTCAATTTTGAATGAAGATTGTGATTTGAAGATTCCTTGTTGGAATGGGTGTTTGGACATACCCAAATGTTTGAGGAGGGAATCCTTTTTCCACAGAATCCGTCTTCTAGCTGTTGTTCAAGAATTCTGAACTGTAACACTTTACTCTGTTTGTCTTCTAGTGCTTGTTTAGGAATTCTGGACAGGCTCTTTAATTTGAGAGGTCCAGATTTTGCCTTCAAGTCATTTGTTCTTGAATCAGCATATTTATCTTCAATTTAGCCGTTGAAAATCAAGAGATTGATTTTTCCTTACCAACGGGTAGAATTTCTTCATTCAAGACTTAGATGATTTTCTAAGTCTTTTCTCACTTGTCTGCTTCTAAGAGTTCCGGTCTTTCTTGAGGCATCCGGTTCTTTGCTGACAAATCCAGAAGAGTCATTCTTAGACTTCCGGGTGAGAAAGAGATCCGCGCTAGTCTTCCGACTTGGATGACTTAGCCTTCAGCGGGTTGTTGCGAGACATCCGGTTCTGATGTAGTCTTCCGGATCAGAGGATTTTCATCTGCTTTGAGAAATCCTTACTTGTCTCTGACATTTCCGATCAAGATATCCAATTTCCAAATCACTGAATTTGATTAAGTCTTCAAGTATCAAACCACTTAAAGAAATATCAGAACTTTATTGGAAATCTCAAGAACTCGGTTTTGACAATGTTTCTAAAAAAGAAAAATTACATTGAATATTGGGGGAGGCCTAAAGTCCATATTACAATCTAAATACATCATCATCAAAATCTATAATACTTTTCCCAACAATTTCCCCCTTTTTGACGATGACAAACAAGTGTTTAAGAGTTCCGGTCGCTCTATTGATATGAGAACTAACTTTATAACTTTCTTTTAGTTTCTCATAATATACAGCTTGTTAACAAAAAATCTTAAACAAATACAATTAAAATTACAATAATTCCTAAACCAAGTCTTGTCTTGAGATTTTGTGATATTTTCTGCCATTTGCCGCTTTCACTTCCAGCAGATCTTGCTTATCAGTGCGGATGGCGTTGCGTCTGATAGATCTTTAATATCCAAAGTGGATATTCAAGATCTTGGAAGCAACACATCTCTCCAAAGGGCAAAAACAAGAAAAAAACGAAAGGAAGTGGAGGGAAAGGAGGAGGCGGTGGAAGAAAAGAAAAAACAGAAAGACAAGAAAAAGGTTTTGGAAAAGAGAATTGATTGCGAAGAAGATAAAATAAGGGTTTTCAAAAATTTTAAAAAATTTAAAGGATAAATATGGAAAAAAAATATTTTGAAAAAGAGTTTAAAATAAATGTTTGAAAAAGTAATAATAAAAAAATGTTTGAGAAAAGGGAGCAGAGTCTGCACAAAAAAAATTTTTTGAAAAAAATGCTTGGGAGAAGGGTGCAGAGACTGCATAAATAAAAGAAAATCCAGAAAAAGAAAGAGAGGGAAGGGAAAGAGATGAAAGTAGAAAAATTTTAAAAAGTAAAATTTGAAGAACAGAAAAATAGAGAGAGTGTTGTTCCAGAGAAGGTGTATGGTGTAATCGTGAAAAATACGAGATTTGCACCATATCCCTTCTCTACTGCCGAGATTTGCACCATAGACCTTAAATGTCTTTTCTTCTCATAAGGCTTTTTCCATTGCCGTCTATGAGGGTGAGAGAGAAAAATTTCTCCATTGATGATATTTTTCTTGGTGTTTTTCTCAGACAATAAGTTTGAAGACTTTTCATATTGAAAGAGTTGTTTGTGATAGGAATGGATTGGGATGTCTTGATTTAAATAGGTGAGGAGGTAGAGAGAGGGGAGGTTCACGGGTTCCATTAAGTGGGTAGTTGGAACGGTGAGAGTAAAGGAGTTTCAACTTCCAAGAAGTTGAATTCTGAAAAGTTGAAAGAATCTTTTACCAATTACCAGAGTGTTGAAACTGTTCAAATTTAAAAATCAGTTTCGTTTGGTTTGAAAAACGTAACTGTTTTAGTTTGGCTAAGCCCAAAAGAGTGGCCCAAGAAAAAATCTATGCACTAAAGGGAAATTATTCCTATTGGGTTCTCAAGGCCCAAAATAAAACTATCATTTTTCATTCCCTATAGTTCTAATTTCTAAATAGGACAAGGTAGTACCAAGAAAAATTTGTAACTTATTTAAAAGAAAAGTGGTACTATTTTTCCAAAGTCCTGCACATTAAAAAAAATCCTAAGGACCAGTACTTTTAGAGCGAAGTTGGAAATGAATTAAGGATTAAAGCTTAGTTTAAGAATGCAGATTTTGTAAAGTACCTGAATCGGAGATTTCCAACTTTAGTACTAAAACTGAGATATCCATCTTCCATTGCTTAGAGCTCATCAATAATTCATTGCCAAAAACAATTGTTAGCCAAAAAAATAAGTTCCCCCTGAATTACATTCCCCCTGAATGTATGCGCTCAGGAATAAATCTCAAAATCATACTTAAAAAGATCAAGTATAAATCAGCATAATAAGCATAATTGAGAGAAATATTAGGCAGTGTTTAAACCAAAACAATCAATGTTTAAACAAGAAGGTGTTTTCATCAAAACAAAATAGTGTTTTCACATACTTTCCCCTTGGTTTGATGAAAAAAGCCTTCAGTGCTTCTTGCGCTTTGAAGATCCGGCAAGCTCACTAATGCCTTGCATGTTTCCACATAGTCCTTTAATGCGCCTTATGTTGCGGTATCTCTCCTTTGTGTGGTCCTCATTTGAGAAATGTGAGACAATGGTTACAACAGCCTCTGATCCATCCAGTCCTGAGCTAGATAAATGCTGTGCTGAGTTCTCCGGATTATTTCTTTGAGCTTCAAGGATCAGGTCAGTCAAGTTTAGATGTGAAAGAATATAAGAGACTTCTCCTTCTTTGACTGCAATAGGAAGCTCTGGAATCAAGGATGGACTGTGTTGTTGAAGAATCACTTCCATCTTGCGGTTGCCAGAGTTTGTGCTCAAGTGTCTGAACAGTCTGAATGCTTCCTTCTGATTGTCAATTATAACCTTCAAGTAGTCCTTTGTTACTACCTGATTCGGTGAGGATACTACCAGAGCAGATCTGATATCCATTTGGAGAAGGGACATTTGCTTCTGCAGACTGACTGTGACATTTGCTATTTGCTCTCTGATTTTGTTAACTTCCTTGAGTTGAAGATAACTGTCAGATGCATATGTCTCCATTGTGTCGCTCACAGAGTTACTCAATAGAGAAATGATCTCTAGAGTCTTGTTCACTGATTTGCTTATCTCCTTGAGATTGGAGCAGTGTGTCTCTTCGGATTTCTCCATCAGCTTGTTGTACCTGGCTTCCATCTGCTCTATCTCTTGCCTAAAGGAGGCATGCTGAGATGCTAGGGCTGATTCAATCAACCCTTGGATTTTCTTTGTCCAGATTTCCGATACCTCATCCGGAAGTGTAGGAGTGGAAGAGCTATGAAAATCGAAGTTGGTTACCTGATGAGAAGAGGGTGTTTTTTGGAAGAGTTGCATAGGAAGAGATTCAGCATCTTCTTGCACATCTTCTTCATCATCAATCCTTAGCGTCCTTTCAGATTCTTCCTCTGCTTCATCAAGTATAAAATTTGATATATCCCTGGAGAGGGAGTCTCTTTCTTCAGCTTCATTCTGCTCTTCAAAAACGGCTATTGGAGTTTCAGAGGCCTCCAGTTCTGCCATTTGAACTTCCTTTCCAGCTTCTGCAGAATTCCTTTGGATTTCTACAGCTTGCTCCTCTTGGACTTCATTTGTTTCTGAAGGTTTGGACATCTCCAGATTTTCTGCTAACTTCTCCGGGATCTCAGTTTTAGTAGTATTGGAGATCTCACAAGGAGTTGTGAGAATCTCTAAGACTTGAGATTTGAGAAGTTGCTGAAGTTCTTCTTCTGATGCTTCTTGGTTCTGTTCTTGTGGAGTAGAGGCTGCATTCTCCTGGTCAGCTTCAGGCAGAACCGTTTCAAAGCCAGGTGAGGTTTCCGGAAGGATTGGGAAATCCTCAGCTGTTGCTTCCAAATCAGCCTGTGCTTCAGAAGTGAGAATCATCTGATCTTCTATGGCTTTTGAGAAGATCGGCTTGTAGACTGAAGGATCTTCATCATCCACTTCAAATTCTGAAACTGGTGTGGCGGCCAAGTGTTCCAGATGCAAGTCTTCATGGTTCCTTTGCCATACCCAGTCATCATCCAAGATTTGTTCACAGCTGTAGTTGACTGGCAGTCCCAAGCACTTCTTGATGATCTTTTTATTCTTCAATTGTTGGTCCCATCCCAACAACTGCTCTGTGGAATTTCCAATCTTCCAAGCTCTCCAGTCATAGTAGAGCTGCCAGAATTGGTTATCAGCATCATCTGTTTGAGGTTGAGGTGAGGAGATTGGAAGATTATGGACTTGATGAACTTGTTCTTCAAGTTGTTGAGGGCTCTGGTTGTGGGCAGAGTTTTCCTCAACTGGTTCCTTCTCCTTCAACTCATTTGGAATGACATTTCCAGAAGTTGAGGGAGAGGTGATTTTCCTCCTCTTCTTCCTTTGAAGTTCTCCTTGGACAGAGACTTCTTCTACTTCTTCCAGATTGACCAGAGCAAGGTTCTGTGGTGCTTCAACACTTGGAGAGGGAGACACCACATGCTTCCTCTTGGTTGTTTTCTTCAGATTTATGATTGGCACATTGTCTGAAGAGCTTTCCTTTGCAGTTGCACTAGTACCAATTCTGTTTTCCCCTTTGGAAGATAGGTAGTATAGCCAATATCTGGCATCATACTTCTTCCCTTTAGAGGCAGCACCCATAGACTCCAAAATATGTCCAATGTACAGACCTTGACAAAGGTATTTCTGGTTGGGCTTTCCCATATGCTTTGAGATGGAAGTGAAGAAATGTGCAGCCCAATTTACCTTAGACTTGGTAATGAGGGCGTTGATGATGAAGGCCCTCTCTTGGGTGATGTCATCAGCATGTCCTCCACTTCCACACTCGAGGCAGGCGATGACCAATTCCAGAACAAGTTTGTAGTCGTTGTTCAGATCTGCTTTCTTCGCTGGGCCAAAAGTGTTGGAATGCATGAGTTCAACCCTTTCTGTGTTGTTAAGTGTTGACTCACAGGTTTTGATAATTGACAAACACAATTTATTCAAGTCAAGATCAAAGTGCTACAACGACAAACACGAAGACTTGAAGTGCCATTCTTTGAAGTATTCAAGAAGGTGCACAGGATTTTATTGAAGTCCGATACGCGTTCGGAGCGCCTAACGGAGGACTCGGAGGAGTAGAAGATTTCCGAAGACTTTTTATTTATTTTAGTCTTAGGAATTTTTGTAAGGATGACAAAAATATCTTCTCTCCAAAATTATTTTTATGAGAGTTAAAATAAAAATTATATTTATTTTTGGAGTTAGTTGAAAAATCTTTTTAACTGTTCAAAATAGTTTTATTGAGTCAGTCACAAAAGGTGTGCCAAACATTTATCAAATATTTATTTTGATATTATAAAATAATTTTGGTAAGCAAAAATATTTTATTCAAATATTTTTTGTGTACATCGTTTGACACACAAAATAATTTTTGGACTCACTTTTACTCGCTTATTCAAATTCATTGAATAAGAGAGGAGGAGCCTTCTCTGATTCCCGTTGTCTCAAACAACGAGTGTTACGCGCTCTCCATCGCAACTGGCTTGGGCCCTCTGTGTTGCACCATTATTTCCTGAATAATCGATTTTCTGTCTTATCTTAATCGATTATTTTTGGTTGTCGCTGGTTTCCTCTGGGCTGGCCAATAATCGATTTTTGCTACTTTGTTAATCGATTAAGGCTGGCAGCGCCAACTAATCGATTTTTCTATCCTTTTAAATCGATTATTTCCGCGCAGGAGGAATTATGCTCAGACTGCATTAATCGATTATTATGCTGCATTTTTCATCACAGCTTCTTTTCTTGGACCAACGGATATATTTCTTCACCTCCTATTTAAACACTCTTCCTTGGTCATTTTTCTTAACAAGAAACACTCCAATACTCCCCATTCTTGAGGTGTTAATCCTCCATCAATCCTTCCTCAAATTTATATTATTTTGAGAGAAAATATTTGTTTTTAAGAGAGGTTTCTTGTCATCCATTAGAGCTTTAATCTTTTCTCTTATCTACTCTTTTGAGAGCTATTGTTGAGAGGTTGAAGAAGATTGTTCTTCTTGTTGTTCAAGGCTTATGTGATTTAAGTCTTGGTTGTGAAGTCTTGTAGAGGGCATATCTACGAGCAGTTGTGTCGAGGCTTGTGGGATTCAAGTTCTCGAGTTGTAAACGGTTTGTTAAGAACCCGTAAGCTTAACGGAAGTAGTGGTAGCTTCGAGAGAGTCTCTCGGGGAACTGGACTAGCCACGAGGTGGTGAACTAGTATACATCGGTGTGTTTTTGCCTTCTCTATTTTATTTCCGCTGCACTTACGTTTATATTTTTAATCCTGCGAAAATCGGTAAACATTCTCAACAACTCTATTCACCCCCCCTCTAGAGTTGCACGCCTTGTCTAACAATTGGTATCGGAGCAGGTATCTCTAACGCTCTTTGTGACGTTTGAGAAAACGATCAAATTTTTTTTTTGAGAATGTTTAATGCAGGGATTAGAGAAGGGCAATCCACCGAAAGACCACCGTTGTTCAATGGAACAAATTATTCATATTGGAAAGAGAGAATGAAAATATTCATTCAATCCGTTGATTTCAAATCATGGATGATGATCAACAATGGACTTTGTCTTCCAACAAAGAAGGTTGGCAAGAAAAGAATCCTCAAACCCGAAGAGGAGTACACGGATGATGATTTCATGAAGATCGAACAAAACGCTAAAGCTCTACACCTTCTATTTTGTGCCATCGACGTGGAAGTATTCCAAATTTTCTCGGGATATGTATCGGCCAAGAAGTTATGGGATGACATTCAAGAGAAATATGAAACTCTTGAAGAAGCAATTGAAGAACCCCACATTTGCTTCATAGCCAATGAAGAAGAAGAGGTAAGTACTTCAAACTCTCCTTCTTTTGAAGAATTACAAGAAGCTTTTATAGAACTATTTGGTGAATTTAAGAAAGCTTCAACAATTGCCAAAGAGTCTAAGGCAAAACTTCATGATTTGGAAGAAGAAAATAAAGTTTTGAAAAATGATAATCATGATCTTAAAAATAAAATTAAGGCAATGAATGAAGCTTCCTATTCTATTGACCCAAGTTCTACATGTTCTTCTTGTGAGTCTTCAAAGTTAGAGAACATAGAACTTAGGAGCACTTTAGAAAAACTTAAGGTAGAAGAGCCTAAGAAAACCATTAAAAAGGGGAAGATAATTAATCCACCTAGAAGAAATAATCCTAGGAATATTAAAAATTTTAGGAATAATTTTAGACAACCTAGAAATGACTCTAGGAAATTTAAAAATGATAGGATGAATTTTAGAAAACCTAGAAATGATTCTAGGAATTTTAAAAATGGAAGGATTGATTTTAGACAACCTAGAAATGAGTCTAGGAATATTAATTCTAGGAATAATGATTTTAGATCACCTAGATATTATTTGGCTCAACCTAGACATATGCACAACCCGAACGTAATATGTCACTATTGCAATCGGGTAGGACACATTGCACCCGTATGTTTTACTAAACATAGGGATTTATGGTATGATTATGATTATTTTTCTCCTAACCATCGAGGACCCAAAAGTGGTTGGGTACCAAATTTTTATTTTTAGATGCCCATGAAAGGTGTGCTTGAAGACTACAAATTTTGTAGTGGATGCTCCAAGCACTAGCCAAAGAGGTTGCATCAAAGGGGAGTCTTTATTTTTTTAAATTTATATATATGAATTTATTTGGGGAATTTACATAGGATGTTTTGCATATAGTAAGGGGGAATTTATTGCTACATGTGTTAATCTTTTTGCATGCTTTTTTAAGGGGTAGATAGCATACATTAAGGGGGAAGTTTTTTTATTTCCTAGAAATGCATGATTTTAGGGGGAGTGTGATTTTTCTTAATTGTTTAGAATTTTTTTTTTCTCTCCCCAGAATGCATGAGTTCTTTTGTTGCATTATTTTTGATAATGCCAAAAGGGGGAAGGGTATAGGAGTATATGCTTTTATTTGTTATTTGTTGGTAGCATATCCTCCATGTGCTTGTCATTATCAAAAAGGGGGAAATTGTTGGAATGCATGAGTTCAACCCTTTCTGTGTTGTTAAGTGTTGACTCACAGGTTTTGATAATTGACAAACACAATTTATTCAAGTCAAGATCAAAGTGCTACAACGACAAACACGAAGACTTGAAGTGTCATTCTTTGAAGTATTCAAGAAGGTGCACAGGATTTTATTGAAGTCCGAGACGCGTTCGGAGCGCCTAACGGAGGACTCGGAGGAGTAGAAGATTTCCGAAGACTTTTTATTTATTTGAGTCTTAGGAATTTTTGTAAGGATGACAAAAATATCTTCTCTCCAAAATTATTTTTAAGAGAGTTAAAATAAAAATTATATTTATTTTTGGAGTCAGTTGAAAAATCTTTTTAACTGTTCAAAATAGTTTTATTGAGTCAGTCACAAAAGGTGTGCCAAACATTTATCAAATATTTATTTTGATATTATAAAATAATTTTGGTAAGCAAAAATATTTTATTCAAATATTTTTTGTGTACATCGTTTGACACACAAAATAATTTTTGGACTCACTTTTACTCCCTTATTCAAATTCATTGAATAAGAGAGGAGGAGCCTTCTCTGATTCCCGTTGTCTCATACAACGAGTGTTACGCGCTCTCCATCGCAACTGGCTTGGGCCCTCTGTGTTGCACCATTATTTCCTGAATAATCGATTTTCTGTCTTATCTTAATCGATTATTTTTGGTTGTTGCTGGTTTCCTCTGGGCTGGCCAATAATCGATTTTTGCTACTTTGTTAATCGATTAAGGCTGGCAGCGCCAACTAATCGATTTTTCTATCCTTTTAAATCGATTATTTCCGCGCAGGAGGAATTATGCTCAGACTGCATTAATCGATTATTATGCTGCATTTTTCATCACAGCTTCTTTTCTTGGACCAACGGATATATTTCTTCACCTCCTATTTAA